GTGTTGACAGTGGTGGGTGCTAACAATGGTAATAAATATAAGAATGAGACGACAATGACAGTGGGTAATAACAGTAGACGACAGTTGTAGCAATTAGTATTTTAAAACCCGGCCCGACCCCAGTAGATTGACTCAGTGAATCGGTGCCTAAACTGGGCCAGGTCACTCTTTTGATAGTTTATGCACCAGACCCGTCTGAAACCCGCTGAATCGTTCTCACCCAAACGATTTTAATCAAACGATTTTAATCAAACTGAGTTAGTTATATTTATATAAAAGGCTGAGTTTGGGGCATTTTGCCCTAAATCAACACTCCACAGTCTCTCACTTTTCTCTCACTCAGTTTGTTCATCAAGTCGAACGAAAAACGACGAAGACCAGCCAAGCCAACCTCTGCCTCTTCTCTTTGCAACGATCGATCAGCCATTGGAAGCCTGTTTCGATCTCTGTTCTCTGCGAATCTGTGACACAAACAACAACCTCTTCTCTTCGACAGCCCTAAATCAATAGTCTCTTCTCTCTATCTCTTCGATTCCATCAATAACCATTGACAGCAGGTACACTACTCTCTCAATTTATCATTCTCTCCCCCCCTCTCTCTCTGTTGGTCTCAGTCTCTCTACTCTTTAACAATAACATGTACATTACACAATATATGAAAAATAACAAGAAAACGTGAGTTAGAGAGAGAAAGTTGAGGAAATGTTTGTTTTCTTACCATTAAACGTCTGTTCTTGGGCTTGATTTCATTGACAGTGGATTCTTGATTATCAATCACCAGTTTTGACATTCAATATAACAAAGTGGTATACTATGTTTTCAGAGAGTGTGTATGTGTGTGTGTAAGAGAGAGAGAGAATCGTAGAAAGACACTAGAAAGTAGGAGAAAATAGGGGGGTTTAGAATCCTAATTCTTATTGTTGGCTTCAGTTAGTTTAGATTTTATCCAATTTTCAGCCATTTTGTCTCTTAAGATCCTTTTTTGTTTCCGGCAACGTTAAAGTTAATGTGTTGTGGGGTTTAATTACTTGTGTTTTATGCTAGGGTCATGTGTTTTGTTTTGTTTTCATGTGTCTTGCTTACTACAGTTTGAGTTTGAAGAGTACAAATTACATGGATTGTGCTTAGTTGATACATTGTCGAAGGGTTGGAGCATTGAACTTCAATAGAGGTATTTTTCTCTACTTAACTTTATAAGTTGTATTGAAAATTGAATACATTGAAATTGGATATATATTTGATGATTTTTCTCTACTTAATTTTACATGTTTGATGTTATTTTTATAATTATTATGATTTTTTAGCCTATTTATTATTATTTATAATTATTTTTTTATTTTTTATTATATTATCAATCTGACCAATAACCCAACGGTTAAACCAGTGACTCATTGACCTCGTCTCTTCATCGGATTGATGTCCGGGACGAGTTTTAAAACTATGGTCGCAATTGGTGGTGGTAGTGGCAGGGACGGCTAGATGGCAACAACAATGGTGATGATGGGATGGTAACGGTGGCGATGGTAACAGTGATAGACGTGGGTGGCAATGGTGGTGGTGAGGGTGATGATAATGGGGATGGTGGTGGTGGCGGCAACGGTGGTTGGGGTGGTTGGGCGACGGGGGGAAGGTTGGTGATAGTGGTGGCATGGTGGTGGGCTAATAGTAATAGAGGTGAAGCGATTTCAAACACTACTTTTTTTTAAAATACTCATGAGAAATTATAAGTTTTAGAGTCACTTTTAAAAAATTATCACAAACACATCCTTAGAGACTTATTTTATCTATTAAATTTGAAGTGTTAATATTAATCGTTAAATTAGTTTTAAAATAAAATTTTAAAAGATCTCAACTGTAAAAAATAGAAGTCATTTTATTTATTTTTAAGATTTAAATTATATGTTACTTTATTATATGAATAATCAGTTTAGCCCATGATATTTGTATTACCCGAAAAATAAATAAATAAATAAGCCAATGGTGTTTGTAGTTATACTTTATAATTGTAATAATAATAACAACTTGGGTTGGAGTCAAATTTTGGGTGCTAGAAAGTGGGAAGGGGCTTGTGTTGCTAAACCCCACGCAATACATCTGAGAGTCTCGGATGTCCAGTCCCTCTCTCTTTCTCTCCGACGTAAAGAAACGTTGCTGTTCTGTTCCTCTTCCTGATTCTCACATCCATAACACTCGAAGGTATCACTAACGCGTCGTTGCGTCTGTTCATAAATTTTCATTTCCTTATCTAATTTTTCAAGTCTGATAAAAAATCTTCGAGTTCCTAGTAAAGTAAGATAGACACATCCTTAATCTTGGATCTGTCTCAACCTCTTTTTTCTAGTTAATAGCGCATTTTCAGTCACTGATCCCTAGATTTACCCAAGAGCATTTACGCCTTCTGACCTTAATCCTTACTTGTTATTTTTTCTTAATCTTCAATTTGTAACAGTGCATGGAGTAGTGGGTTTTATTTATGTTGGATGTCTCCATAAATGTCCAATGGTTTTGGAAAATATTATGGAAGGGTAAATGTTGAATGACGACCACCAATTAAATGCTAATGCTTGTTGATCTCTTGCTCTTATCCTTGAATGTGTGGGTCTTTTGAAAAGTTGGTGTTCTGCCTGCTGTCAATGCGTGAACCCCCTTCTCCTATTCATATAGAGAGATGAGTACATTCACCTATGTGAAATACAATGATTAAATTGCACTCCCGATTCCCGAGCTATGCGTAATGCAGTATTTCTCTGATGTTGAAAATTTGAAGATATCACTTTGTGGGTCTTGAATGAGGTTTCTAAAGAATTGGACTCATCATCATGGTGAAGGAGAATGTTTGAAGTCAATTATATCATGGGAGATAAGTGGAGGGTATCAAGCTTGCAAATGATTTCTACATGGACCTGCTATCAAAATGCAGATCGTTTTTTGTGACAGTTGGTTAGTTGGGAAGAATTATCAGAGGGAATTTACATTAAGTCAGGGGAAAATTAGGATGTGATAGCAGGAGGGACGTTAGAGCTACCGTTGTTCCAGAGAGTATAGTATAGATAGGGCCTTAGAGAGTTTAGTTTGTTTGGTGTTGCATGGTGTAGCGTAGGGGATGGATTACTTCTTAGCTTATCCCTGTATCCGGTATCTATTAGTTGAGAACTTACTACAATTAATGATGGGAAAGAAGATATGTTAAAAGATGGGTTCACACTGATGAATATCTTAATATTTAAATTTTATTTGAAGACATGTTTGATATTCTAGGGTTGTATGGGTTGATATAGGTGTGTCCAATAAATCAGGTTTTTCGAACTAAAGAGGAGTTCTTCAACTGGAAAATCTTTATGTGGCTTCACTTTCATGTACTTAATGTGAAGTCAGACCAATAAGGGGAGGGTGATCTCCTGTTTGTAAACATGGAAGATTGTCATTACCTCCAAAGGGAATTCATTGGATAGAATATTGATGCTTGATTATCTTGTATTCAGGGAGTGAGTGTAATCTCACTGAGGTTGTCGCTCTGTTGTTTTTCTGCAATTTAAATGTTTAATGAAAAATCTGAGTTTGGCTTAAGAGTCAGAAGCTTTATTAGTAGTCGAGGAGATGGAAGATTGATACGTTCAATGTTTCAGGCTTGAAGAATGTCATGTAGTAGGTCTTACACTATGGCCTCGTTTGGTTGTCATGTGTAAAAGATAGGATTGTAATAGGTAATAAAGGTTAAATTCGTATAAGCGAATAAAATATAAGATTGTAATCCTGGTAAAATTTTGGATTAAGAGTGGACTAATTATATATTGACCAAAAAAAAAAACTATCAATCTAGTGTAGTTATCCATGTTTTTTATTACTTGGTGAACAAAATATTAAATTTATAACCTAATTCGGTTGAACTAGATTGTAATACCACATCTTTAGGTATCATTAAAATTGACTTCATTGCATAGTTATTAGAATCATACGGTTAAAAAAAAAAATAGTATCGTACGACACGTCACGATATATAGCAAAAATGATACGTATTGTGTTTTTGTATCATTTTTATACTGTATTGTACGACACAATGTATGATACGTAATATTTATTTATTTTTTTTGTTTTTTGGGTTGAAAGAACGTCGTTTCATCCAAGACTTCTTTATTAATCCCTATAGCAAGTGAAACAACAACGTTTTAGTGGCAAGAGTTTAAAAAAAAAAATAATTGTTGTCTTCTTCATTGACGAAGAATTGCGTCGTATTTTATGATACACATTACAATATACAATTTTTGGAAAACGATACGACTTTCGATACGCAATTTGATAACTATGTACAATTGGTAAAGCGTATTATTCATATACGTTCTAAGAACTATATCTATATATAATACGGAGTGTTTTTGGCAACCAAATGTAGTATAAGATTGAATTAGAGAGTTTTAATCTGTTATGACTCCGTAATCCATCCTTTATTACTGGAATCCAACGACCCCTTTCTCTTTTTCAAATTTGAAGGAATAGAATTTTGATGTAATTTAGAGCATGCAAGTTGTTTTGGTCTTTAGTTTGTGTACTTACTTTCGAATGGTTTTATCTTATAGTTCATGTTGAGAGATGAGATTTGTTTCAGCACTCTCTCTCTCTCTTTCTCTCTCTCTCTCTCTCGCATGAAAAGTAAGCATTTATTCCAAAGACCACAACTGTATAGAATACAAGAGGCTAAACACATGTACTAAAACCAGCTAGAAGAGCATACCCAGACTAGCAACATCACAATCGCAGTTGAAATATTAGACCTAACTAGATTGCAACTTGTACATATAATGTTTGAAATTTTTTTAGATAATGTATGACGTTGTTCCAACAGTTTTTTGACCTCTATTAACTTTATATTTTGAGTATTCTTGCATAAATTGGGAAAAAGTAACAGAAGTTATGAACAAATAGATGTTTAGATCTGATATTGTGGATGATAGCTAGACTGTTGTTATTTCTCTTCAAATTCTTCTGATTTTAACTAATTCATGAGCAGATGGTAGATCGTTATTGGATCACTTTCTTTGTGTTGCTTTCTTGTCTTGTTGGAGTACTCGATGCTAGTGCTGGCGATGCTGACCCACTGTATAGGTAATTCTTTTCCTCAATTTCTATTGCTTGAATCAATTTGGTTAAGTTGGTGGATGGAACTGGAGATAAGGAGTGGATATGCATGGTTGTGCTTTATTAAATTGTGAATTTTGCATTAATTCACTTGTGTGAGAATGGGATCACAATCATTTAGGGTTTTCACTTTAGTTGACCATTAATTGAGTTGGATAGGTTTTATTTGTGCATAAATTCCACTTAGAGTCCGTAAAACCTATTCAACACAGGGTCAACTCACTGTTGGTTCAACTTAGGGTTAAGATCTTATATTTGCACTCCCAATTTGTATCAAAGCTTAGGAACCCCGTGAGTTTGGCCTTGGCACTACTTTGGTACCCGGGAGTCGACCTTATCATGTTTGTAGCCGTCCTCTAGAGCTTTTGATCTAATTACCCTTGCGTGTTGATCTCTATCTCAAACCCTGTCATGTTTGTTATGGATTCTCAAAGAGAAGGAGTTTCGAGTAGCATTTTATTTATTTTCCATTTTCTTCCTTTCTTCTTTATTTCTTCCTTTTCCTTTTTTCCTTCCTTTTTTTCCGGTTTGTGTGGCTAAACCTATGATATTGCTATAGTAAGTAGATTCAGAGGCCTGATTTTTTCCATTAAATTTTCTTATTTTTCAGCTGTCAACATCAAAATAAAACTTAGAGTCTAAATGGTTTCATTACTTAAATGCTCTTCATGTCCCTTTTGGAAATGCTGCTTCTTTAAATGTGGTCCATCTTGGAGCCAAGGCTTACATTTTGGATTGGCTTCCTCAATTTTGTTGTTCATCTCTGCACATTCTTGTCTACGACAATTGTCCCAATTAATCAAGTTAACTAAAAATCTGAACCTTTTTTTGGGTCTTGCCCTTTAACATTGTTTGACATCACTCTTTGGTTCACTGCATGTGTTTTGAGTATGGTGAGTGATTTGGTTCATTCATTTATCTGTTACATCTGGAAAAAAAATGGAATTTTATTTTTGGAATTCAAATTAATTGATTTGGCAGCATTGCAAACTTTAATCTGGTAATTCGGATAAGATAAGGTGTGATTTTGTGAGATATTGGTGTTCTATGATTTTAGGGCTTGTGTAGGACAATGCAAAAAGACTGGCTGTGTTGGTGAAACATGCTTCCCACATTGCAAATTCTCATCAGATGGTGCTTCCCTTGATGGCCCTTGGTACATGCAAGAACCTCTGTACTTGCAGTGGAAACAATGGGATTGCCTAAGTGATTGCCGTTACAACTGTATGCTCAACAGAGAGAAAGAGATGGCATCACTTGGTCACGGGCCTGTCAAATATCATGGTAAATGGCCTTTCAAGCGGCTATATGGATTTCAGGTTTGTCATTTCACAAGCTTTATACCTGAGTACCTCCTTCTAGTGATGAGAATGGATTTAGTATTTTGGTTTTTAACACCTTGAGTAATGTCTTGCAACTACTCAGGAGCCTGTTTCTGTGGCTCTTTCTGCTCTCAACCTTGTGATGCATTTCCATGGTTGGCTGTCCTTTTTCATCCTTATGTATTACAAGTTACCTCTGGGATTAGATAAGAAGCGGTACTATGCTTTCACCAGTCTGTGGCATATCTATGGCCTCTTATCAATGAATGCATGGTTCTGGAGTGCTGTTTTCCATAGTCGGTGAGCTTCTTCCTTTTCACAGTAGTTGCTTGTTCATGCATTGCAGAGAGGCAATGACAGAGTTTCTTGCATTATGCCTCTTCGACCTATTATCACTTGGGACTAATTATATATAGCTAGCCTCTCGGACCTGCGAGCGGGGTGATACGTACCAATTTGTCCTAATAGATTTTGTCTCAGATAAAGTTGAGGTTCTTAACTGTTAGGTTGGGTTTGGAAGGGGTCCAATGACTTGGACATGCTCTCTGTTCTACGCTTATGAAGCAAAGCTACCGACATGTTTGTCCATATCCAGCAAGGCAACTTGGGAAAAAGCAACAAGAAAAAGATAAACTATATGTTAGGGAATAACGTGAGTCTTATGAAGCACAGATACTTCATATAGGTCGATGTATCCGTATTAGATATGATACTCATTAGATACGTGTCAAATATGTATCGGATACGTGTTGCACGTATTCAAAAATTAATAAAATATTATTTATTTTTGGATACATATCGGATACTTATTACACATATCCAATAATTAATTACAATCCCTGTTGCCTAATAAAACCTTTGTTTGTTTATGGTTAAATAAAGATATGAGTATTCAAGACAAAATGTGTTTCGTATATGGACATGGATATACATTGCAATATTTATAAAATTTAAATTCTTATCTTTATTGTCTCTTTTTAAAATTAAATACAATGATACACATAAAGAAAATTTCATATGACTTTGAAGATAGATTGGGTTTTTAAGTTTGTATACTACCACATATCCAAAGGATATAGAGGTTAATTATAACTTATCTCTTGTCTACTATGCAGAGACAATCTATGCTTTTTTTACAGCAATATTTCTTAGTTTTTTGAATTGCTATTAAAGAATTAGTTTATAGTAAAAATATTTTTTATATTTTTTGTAGAAGTATCTTGGCCATATTTGTATTCTATTTTTTTAGGTTTTGCCATATCCGTATCGTATCGTACCTATATCCTGTATCTTTATCCGTGCTTCCTAGCGTGAGCTTCACTGTCCATCTGGCATGAATATGAAGTGTCCATCGTGTCAAAATTGATTATTGGCTAAAGTTGGATTTGTTCTTGTTGAATCTCTTGTTATGTTAATCCTCAACAATTTGTGTTTTTATTTTTCTCTAATATTATAACTAGCTAATTTTTAGTTTAACAATGTTTCTTCCCCCAACAATGTTAAAGAATGACAGAACATTGGAGAATGATGTTATCACACACATTTGATATAATTCTAGAATGTACTCATCTCTTGTCAACGGCATTTGCTAGCCATTCAAGTTTCTCTTTGTCTGATATAAATACAATTGTGCAATTCCTGAATAGAGAAAAATATTTTGTTACATGGTATAATGCTACTAATTAGTGTGTTGGCATTTTTTTGCAGGGATGTGGATTTGACAGAAAAGCTAGACTACTCTTCTGCAATAGCATTACTTGGATACTCTCTTATTTTGGCTATACTAAGAAGTTTTAACGTGAGGATTGAGGCCGCCAGAGTCATGGTTTCTGCACCACTGCTTGCATTCATAACCACCCATATACTGTACCTTAATAACTATCAAATGGACTACGGTATCACCCCCATCTTCGACATTTTCATCTACTGCAAGATGCACAAACCTTGGATTACAATTTTAACAGATCTTTGTTACTTCTGGAAAATGGTCATGGATCTATTTGGGTCATAGAGTCATGCATCGTTTGTCTCTCTGCTGGTGTCAACAGCGGGCTCAAGCCTGTTTTCGTGCTATCCCTTTATGGTGGTAGAACAATGTCCTTTTCAGGATATAGTAGGTTGGGTTGAAGTCACTTTTTACTGAAGTCTTTCTATTCAGCGATGGAATTTATGAGAGACAGAGAGAAAATGTTATAGTTGAATTATAATAACCCGGAAACTCTAGTTTTCTTTTTCTCAAAATCTGACTTTTTTTTTCTTTTTTCCAAAAATCAGTGACTACTTGTTGCCTTTTGTTTGTTTTTGACATATGACTCTGAACATTTGACAGGGTGGAACATGAAAGTTTGCCTTGTCATGGCCGTGTCTCAGCTTCTTATTTGGGCAATCTGGGCCGGTGTCACTCATCATCCCTCTCGCTGGAAGTTATGGGTTGTGGTCGTGGGAGGTGGCCTTGCAATGCTTCTGGAGATCTATGATTTCCCTCCATACCAAGGATTTGTGGATGCACATGCCCTTTGGCATGCCACCACTATACCCCTCACCTACATTTGGTGGAGTTTCATTAAGGATGATGCTGAGTTCAGCACAGCTAAACTGCTCAAAAAGATGAAATAGCATGTTTTCTAGTACCCATGAACCCCAATGGTTGTGTAGTGCTTTGGCCAGTTGATGAACCTCAGGTCAACACACATCTATGAAAAGTAGATTCTTCTTTTATTATTACTTCTGTTAATTGCTAAGTAGCGAGAAGATACTTGGTTTGACGAGAGGTGGCAGGGTTGGTAAACTTTGGATAACATTGGTGAACTTTGTTAGAGATATTTCTTGTATTCATCTATTACAGTGGCCTAGGGAACAGATTGTCGTACTCTGGTAATGCATCAGTTAGCTGGTTATTTTGTGTAATTGGAGGCTACTGAACACTTCTTCCACCCTCCTCAGCCTGATTATAGCTCAGAAAGAACTGTGTCACCCTGCATAGATATAGAACCTAATCACCTTTCAATTACATCATGGTTTGCTAGACAACGTATGTCATCTCCTGGCCTTTGCTGTTCCTTTGCCTGCATATGTTTGCCCTTGTTGTGGTCTTTACCTGATTATATAACCCACAAAATTCCGTGGACTTATGACGGTTCTGATGAGTGATGATTGCTGTAGCAGCATGTCAACAGGTCTTCCAAGGTGAGGAGGTGCTTTATATGTTGCATCCCACATTGACTTGGGAGGAGGAGGGATTGGACTATTTATGTAGCGTGTTTACCCTTCTCTGTCAAGAGGTGTTTGTGCCATAGGAACAAAACCATATGGGTACTCAACCATATGGGGGTACCTTACAGTTTGGATGGGTCGTTACAATTGTAGGTGTGGTATATCCTATGTAAATAGAAGATGAAAATAGGTAATTATTTGATAAAACCAAACTGGAAGGCTTGACGGCTGAAAATGATCATTTTTATGTACTTGAAGAGCAAGTTGCAGAGTTGACAATTGAAATTCATCAATGTCATACACTTGGAGTGCAAGTTATACGTCTGTAGATTCTGTCAATATATTGAATACCTTATAGCCAAGATTACGTATGGCCATAGAACTTTAGGAAATTTATATAAAGATTGGTTCAACCACTTGGACTATCCGCCCCCGTGCAAACAGTAACCATTTTGGTGTTCTCCAAACATATATAAATTTTAGACGTGCAAAATCACAGAACTAAACCGTATATCATGGCAAAGAAAAGTAAAACTTGAACTTAAGTTTTAGGGTACTAATCCTTGAACTCTTGAGAGTAGTTCAGTAGTTAAATTTGACAATTAGTAATTCAAAGGTCTCGAGTTCAATCTCTTTCTACACCCTCTAAAATTAGTTTTGTTCTTTTAGGGACATATTCTAATCTAACTCAAATCACGGTGGTTAACCGAGGAAAAAATCAATCAACTTAACAAGGAGCGAAAACTATTTATCTAGGTGATTTTTGGTCAATCTTGGTTGCTCTTATATTTGCTAAATCTTGTTATTATTAAATTTTCTTTTTGAATACGTATCACCTAGTGCATGAATAGGTTTAGGAAATGCATGTGTCTTTTAACTAGTGATATCTTATAAGTATGTTATTTATAAAAGTGAAAATTGGGAGTGAATCCTCCTAGATGTACTTATTAGTAGATAAGTCCGGCAAAAAAATTTATAAGGGGTTAAGTCCACTTTTAAAATTATGTATACTAACTTAAGTATATTTTTTTTTAATCTCAAAAATACTCCTAACGGTGGTAATTTTGGATAATTATGGAAAGTTATAGATTAGATATTTTGAAATATATATGGTAACAGTTATATTCAGTTTTTTAAGGAAAAAAGAATATCATATTCGGCTGCATGATTTACGTCAAAATTAATGGGCTATTATTTCAAATTCAGTTCAAAATTTTCCATTAACAGATTCAAATTCAAATTTCATTTTCTAAAGCACAGGAACTTAGTTGTCTGTTACATCAAGTTTCTTTCTTTCCGGAAATTCGAGCGATTATTTTTTTCCAAAAAGCAGGCGGTATCCTTCTTATTCACACGTTACCACTACGTCATTTTTGTTTGATAGGATTTTCGAAGGTGATACAAGCATCAATTGGAAGTTTGAATTTTGCTGTGATTCCAAGGTAACTTATTCGTTCTTTATTTCCTGAGATATGTTCATTGTAATTGGTTGATTTGCATAATATGATTAGTTATTATATGCTGAGGTATTTTCATTGTAATTTCTTGATTTACATGATATGAATTACAGTGCTGTTTTGGATTTTTTTGCGTAAATTGATATTCATTTGCTGAAAATTTTAGGTTACTTATCAGAATTTCGTATTGCAACCTTTTTCACCGGAGTTTTTTTTTTTTTTTTTTGAAATTAGGTACTAAGTTATTTCTTTCATGTTATTGTTCGTGATTTTATTGGAATTATAATTGCTTATTTTTCGTTTTTTTTCCTTTTGTTATTGCCAAAATACAACGTAACTTTCCGATATTCATATTGCGATGTTCCCTATCAGAGTTATTTTTTTTAATTAGGTTCTAGGTTTGTTTTATCATGTTACTGTTGGTGATTTATTGGAATTAGAAATGGTTATGTTTGTTTTTCTATTTTTTTTCATTTATTTTTATTTTATTAGTCATAACAGATAGATGATAACATATTGGTTTGTTACAAGTATTCTTCTGAGACTATTGTACTAAGAATTTCAATGCATTCCACAATTGATGATGTGTTACATGGTGTTTGTGACAATTGGAATGGTTTGAATGTCAATTGTGTTGCCCTGTCGTACGCTATTCCCGGACATCCGATTTGTGCTTTGCAAAATGATAATGATGTGAGAAACCTGTTCTAATTGCACGATCTGTTTCAGTTGAATTTTGTTGAAGTTACAGTTGTTGTTAAAGGGAATGTGATTCGTGATTTTGAGGGTGGAAAAGTTGTGGAAAGTTCTGAATTAACTGTTGACCCTGTTGGTCACGAGGATGATCTTCTTCCTCATTTTTATTCTCACAATGAGAAGGTTTAGTTGACTGATGGATGGTCTAATAGAATAGTAGAGGTGGGGCAGAAGTTTGAGGGAGGAGTAGTTGATTTTCAGAATGCGTTATGCAAATATGCAATCGAAGTTGGTTTTCAGTTTAATTATGTGAAGAATGAAAAAACAAGGGTAAAAACTGAATGTATAATGAAATATTCTGCTGGGTGTGAGTGGTTTGTTGTTGCTACACTCCAACGGATAAATGGATGGTTTGACATTAAGAAGTTAAACGATGAGCACACGTGCGGTGTGACTGCACGTACAACAAAGAACAAAAGATTGACTTCTAATTTGGTTGGAGGCTTATTGTTGACAATATCAGACAAAAACCTGACACACGTCCAGTTGACGTGAAAATTATGTTTCATACAGATTATGGTTTGACCATATCGTATGATCTAGCTTAGGTGGGTGTTGAAAAAGCAAGAGGTATGCTGTTTGGGGATCATTCGTTATCATACCAACAATTAGGGTGGTATGTGCAAGTTGTAAATGAAAGCAATCCAGGTAGTCATTTTTTGTTTGAAGATGATTCGGACACGCAATGTTTTAGCAGGTTGTTCATGTCATTTAAGGCATGTATAAATGCATTTAACTACTGTCGACCCATATTATTCATTGATGGTCCATTTTTAAAAGAAAGGTATAAAGACATTATTTTGTCTGCAACTGCAAAAGATGACAACCAAGGTGATTTTTTTTGGTTTATTTTGGTATTACTGATTTTATTTTAATGTTACATTTTAATATTTGTATGTATGTTACTGTTTACATATGTTACTGCTTGTGCTACTATATGTATTGCAGGTTTGTTCCCCTTGGCTTTTGCTGTTGTTGATTCGGAGAATGAGTGTAATTGGTGTTGGTTTTTAGAACAATTAGCTAAGATTGTTGATAATTCTAGGGACCTTACCATTATGTCCTATCGTAATGTTGGCTTGATGGAAGCAATGCCAAAGGTGTTCCCAACGGTGCACCATTCATTCTGTCTACAACACCTAAAAGCAAATATGAGAGATAAGTATAGTGGGGGTCGTTTTACCCATGTGTTTCGTGAGCATATGATTTTTTTTGTTTACATTGTGTGCTTATGCTCCGACAGAGGCATTTTTCAATGAAAAGCTTGATGATTTTCGATGTGAAGGAGGAACCGTTGCTGATAAGTTTTTGAAAAACCATCCATTTGAGAAATGGGCGAATATTTTTTTCAAGGGAATACGTTATGGGTAGATGTCTTCAAATGTTGCTGAGTCATTCAATGCTTGGATCACGAAGTCACGTCACTTACCTATCACAAGCATGGTTGACACAATAAGGGGGCAGATCATGAACCAAATGGGTTGCCGCTTGAATACATCGTCACAATGGAACGACATTAATTGTCCAAATATTAAATCCAAACTTCAAGCTGCTTTCACTGAGTGTCATTCCTGGTTTGTTAGGGTGTCTTCAAGTCATATTTTCGAGGTTAATTCACATCCTTCAGTGACAGTTGACATTGAGAGTTGTACGTGCTCATGCCACCAATGACAAATCAACGATTTATCATGTGTTCATGTTGTGGCTACAATTCAAAAGAGTGGTAGGAACATCAATGAGTTTGATGATTATTATTATCAAGTTACTACTTACAGACTGTGTTATTCTGAGCCTATACACCCTATTCCAACACTCGGGCGTCTAGACTTTTCAATGGTTGACGTTGATATGCTGCCACCATTGTCAAAAAAACAACTAGTCCGTCCAAGAAAGCGTAGATTTAGGTCTAGAGGTGAGCTTGATAGGAAAATTCATTGTGGCCATTGTGGTTGTTTAGGTAATCATAATAAGAAGACTTGTAACGAGCCATTGTAATATTTTCATACCTTTTTTATTCCTTTATGTGTTACTTTTGTTTTTAGCTATTTTGTGTTTGTCATGATACACATTTGGAATATCACGGATTAAACTGTGTGATAAGTTAATAGTGTAGTATTATCCTTGCATGGTCAATATATGTTTGATGTTATTGTTAATGTGACCCCAATGTTACTATTTTAATGTTCATGTTATATAGTAACTAATGTTACTTTTTAACAAGGATTTTGTGTGATTGCTTAATTTGGATAAATTCAAATCATGTTACTGCTCATATTACTTTGTTTGGATAACCAAGCATGAAAGAGTTATCAACTGTTTTTCAAATAAATGATACAAACGATACTCAGTCATGTGGATAACAACATTCACATTCCACTAACAACTTCATTTCAGCATTCTATAATCATATAGAATTGGTAATCTTGAACAATTTTTGTACATGTTACTGTTTGTGTTACTATTTGAATAACAACGTGGACAAAGTTTCATTTGTTCCACAAACATTCCATTACAATCAAATATCAACCACCGAACAATTACAACTAATTTTTAATCAAATATCAACCATCCAACAATTACAACCAATTTTCTAACC